AAATCAAGGCCTTGTTAGCCCACTTTTCCACTTTTTTTTGAGCTAAGTAACTTAAAATACAGCTTATGAAAGAAAACGGCCTGTCTAGGATAGTTATTTGTCTTGTTTTTTAGGTACATTATGTTTGTGGTGCCGAGCCTTGGAAACCTCTCGGCGTTGCGTTCATTGCGTGTTCTGCGTGCCCTCAAGACTGTGACTGCTGTACCAGGTATGCTGTTTTGCCTCATCACTGCAAGCATATTAAAGTCAAAAGACTGGTTTATCGGCTGTGTTAGCATTATGACACTTATTTTGAATTGAGTATGCAGCGCATTGTTTTATCTCGATGTGCCATTAACGAAAAACCTAGTCTTAATTTTTATATTTTGAACTTTTTTACTTGTATGAGACTTTACTAATTGAATGCACTTAAGTACCCACCTAATATTATCATTTTATCCTATTTCTATGCATAAAGGCTTTTTTTATATTTAAAACTTATGCGCACTACTTAAATTCGTATATAAGTAGGTTTGTGTAAAATGATATTCTAAAATTACCATTAAATCAATACTGTTTGTGTCCAAAAGGGTTACCTGTAGTAGAATGCAACATTCTTTTGCACCAATTTTGGAAACACAGGATTAAAGACGATTATTGGTGCCCTGACGGACGCAGTGATGCATCTGCGAGACGTTGCTGTGCTCACTCTCTTCATGCTCTCCATATTCGCTCTCATTGGAGTGCAATTGTATCGAGGTACATTGCTACGAAAGTGTGTCATTCCATGGCCAGGCTTCAACACCACAGTGGGTGGAGCCCTCGTCAGTCAACTTGTCAATGATGTGTACAACAATAAAAGTTTTGATCCCCTCCTCACAACTGAAATTAAAAGCATCTTTAATGGAACTGTTTTGAGTAAGTAGGACATCTATTGTGTTCAACGCCTTACTGATTATTGCATCTTTTATTTACCAAAATGTTTTTCTTTTTCTCTCTCTTACTCTTCATTTAATGCTCGGAAGATTTTATGAGCAAGGTGAATAATTCAGGAGTGGGAAATGTGGTGCTGCACGATGACATGGTGTCTCGAGTTTGGTTTGCCCTCTCCAACTACTCCCGGTGGCAAGTGACCGAATACTTCTATGAACAGAAAGGTTCGCAAAGATTTAAAGAAAAAAACTGTAGTAAAAAAAGGAGTTAACAATTATTTCATTTCTTGCATTACCTTTTGATTGTGAAGATTTTATTTAGGCAAATGGTGAGGCAATTAAAATTGTCACTTGCTTGAAGGCCTTTTGACGCCAGTGACAGGTGATGAGGGGACACGTGTGTCATC